AAATCAAATCAAGTAAACATGAGACAAATATCACACACAATAATATTTTGATATAAACTAAACAAATACACACACCCCGACAAAAGCAATGTATGAAAAGTCTCTTAATTTATTTTACTTTGTATTATTAAATTGTCATATTTCTATTTTCTACTTTTTAAACTAGTAATAGTTGACATTTCATTTGTTGCGCCTGTCATTAATAAAAACCTTTCGACACACATTTCTTTTATCTCTTGAGTACCTACTCAAAATAAATTAAATATGCCATTTGTTACACAACGGTGATTTATTTAAAGTTTGATGTGATAAACAAAAAAATGATTGGTTAGCCAGATTTGGTGGTAATATTTATTTCATGTTATATAAAATACACATTGAAAGAGAAAACTTTGCAACTTTCTGCTTGTAACTTTCTCAAGAAGTAAAATATCACACTATTTATGTGACCGGTCTCTACTAAATAGCGTCGTATCCAAATTACAGTACCTTGTTGTAATAGCATATCTTTGTTATTTATTAAAAAAAGAATATGCTATATATGTTACCGAAAGACGCAAAAAGGAAAGAATAACAAAAAATTGAATTGTTATTCATGAAAATACACGAATCACATAACAGGGAGCGCATACACAACAAATACGATAAGATTTGATTATAATAATATGGACGGCTTTACACTTCAAAAAACGAAATACAATCTGTATGTAAAGTTTATGATAGATTGGGGTAACGAATAAGTATGAATGTAACTAAATATTTAATGGATTGTAACGATTTCACTGTATCAATCCCTATTAAGATACGTTTCAAGTCACTCATTCATCATTTATTGTTTAATACGTGTTGAGTTTTGAAGCAGGTAGCATAGCATATATACATGTTTATATATTATTATATTTCAAGTATTCAAATGGAATAAAACTAAAGTATGCTTTAAAATCTTACAGAAATCATGATCCGGTTACGGGAGTGCTATGGCCATTTTGAGCAAATAAGTAATTTTATATTTATTTTTTTTGGCAAATGTTAGTTGCGCACACCTACATATGTAACGTAGTATTGTAAATTTTAGTGAACAGTCGTATCAACATTCGTTAAACTTCCTGTCCTAGTTGTGGATAGTACTGTTCAGCATAAAAAGTAGAAATGGAATACCGGACTACAGCTCGATACTTGCCGAATACTTACTTAGATGTACTTACTTTAGGAACTAAAAGTAATATCGGTTTAGAGACATTTATTTCTCATAAAAAGAACAATACAGTTCACTTACATAATGAGAAAATGTAACAACACAATAAATTAGTTAAGTATCTCTGTGATCACAATACACTATTACAGTAATATAAAACTAAAGATATGCAGACAACTTCATTAGAGTCAGTACTTTATCTTAATGTAATCTCCTATTTTTTTTTAAATATAAAAACAAAACTATTTAAAAACCATTACAGATTATCCAACAACAACCATTATTAAAGTTCTAATTGAAATGAATTAAATATTAATTTTATTTAATTGAATTGCAGTGTAGATAATATGTTTTTTTTAGTAACAGTAATAATTTTAGTATACTTTCAATTTAGACATGTATAATATATGTAACTAATAACATCGTATCTAATTGTAAATCATTGTGTCTTATTTTAATAAAATTAAAAATTTGTGCGTCCTTAGAATCGTCCGTTTTGCATGTGCCACATTACTTCATTTTGTTACCTTTAAAAAGCATTAAGGCAGTTTTTTCGTCTCACATGAAAACTTCAATAGTTTTCTTTCTGTTATTGGTTGAAAATAGCCTATTCCTTAAAGAAAGACCCTTACTTTGGATTTAAAACAAACTCGGCATAAGTTTTGTGATAAAACTTATGCCAAGTTTGTTTTAATTATATTCTTTAGACTACACTTGCAGTATTTGTCTACAATACTGCAAGTATAGTATAGTGTTGCAGCATTACCGACAAAAACGCATTCCGAGGACGAATGTTTTGAAATAATAATTGCATCTAAATGCCGATACATAAATCGTGTTATGCCGGGCTTGATAGCTTCATACAGTGTTACATATTTCTAAGGCGTTATGTAATTTCTAACGATGCATGTCCCTTGCGATTATCCCCAGTAGGTAAAACTATATACAATCTCTTTGTAATTGTAGGTAGCTACTTGCCAACCGCAATACTGACTTTCCATTCACTATAATAGCTGCAAGTTAACTTTACGAAATATGAACCATGAGTTATTTTTGCAGCTAACAAAAAACAAACAAGTATTATGTACTTGAAAAAAAAAAAATTCTGTGAAGTTAATTAATGATACAACGTTACGGTGATGGTAATTGGTTACCAGCATATACAAACACTCTCACGAACAGGGTTATCAATTAGTAGCAATGGGTAACCAAAACTTGGTGTCCCCGTCTGGAGCTATGGCGATTATTATTTTTTCTTAAAAAAGATATATCCTGTGTCAAGGGGGACTTTACAAACATATATGAAACGGACACAAAGAACACCCAGACTCAGAACAACCATTTGTGGATCACACAAAGTGTCGTCCCATGTGGGGATCGGACCCACAACACTCAGCGTAGTAGTAACCGGCGTGGCGACCGCTTAAACCACTAACGCCATCCGTGCAGTCTTACATTTCTTCTCACCAGAAAACAATGGGTCTATATACTTGTTATTGAGTAATACTGCTTAACTTATATAGAATAGGTTGAAACATAGACGTAACCATAGATCAGGATTTATACTAGACATAGACCGTTTAGACTAGGTAAGACGAGATGTGACGATTTTTCCACGTGCCTAGACTTTTTATTAAATTAAACCGGCAGACAAGAAAAACAAATAATTTATTTATTGCATATTTTATAGCTACAATAACAAAAAAAAAAACTAGTTTGCAACGAGTTTAACTAGCACAGCAATAAATTATTCTTGTAATAGATTCTGCACACAAACTCTAGACGTGGCAGAACCGTAAACAACTCCTTAGGTAAAACAATACAAAGGCAATTAAAAAAGTAGACCGCAACTAACTACGTCATTTAAAATGAAATATCGACACGATTTTTTATGTAGTAAAATGTTTTTATGTTAACACTAAGATATGGTCACTAGTAGACAATACATACTGACATCCTGATATAGGTACTTCGAATAGGACTAAATTAAAAAACTTTGAGTAGCAATTTTCAAATTTTTTGTAATAAAAATTTAGAATGTATCGTTTTCCTATATTTTCTCATCGTCTAAGCTTTCCCTGGACATCTCCTCTAATCAGTCCAGCCGTTCTTGAGTTTTACGGAGACTAAAGAATAGCAATTCTTTTTTGTACCTTTTTTTTAAATTCTTTTTTGTCCCTATATATATATATGTAGATAAATGCAATAAAATGTGGTCGTTGATGTTTACCATCGTGAATATTCTATAAACGTAACTCTAAATTATAACATTAATTATAGTCGTAATATAAATAGGAATGTTTTTCGAAAACTATCAGGCTTCATCATCATCAACAGTCCACTGCTGGACATAGGCCTCTCCTTAAATTGGAGGTTTTGGTCTACTATGCCACGTTGGCCAGACGGGTTGGTATAGCGTTTGTTTCGAGTTTTCCTTCTTTTTGCAGTGATGTTGTTTTGCACTTTCATGCTTATTTAATATTAATTTATGTTCAAATCTTACATTGTTGATAGAAACAATAAAATTTGAATGCTAAAAATGTCATATATCTTAAGTAAAGAAATAATAAATGAGTTTTACACCTATGTAACACCAACTTGAACATCATATAAAAAATACATCCGTATTTAATTTTCTTACCAGCAGGTTTCGCAATATGTCTATCGTGAACAACAAAATATTTTGCAATGTTTTGGACGATTCTTACTGGCCTGACGAATAATGAATGCAAATAGCTTGGCTAAGCTCATAGAAAATCAACAGTGTAATATTCAATTTGTTACAATTAAAAGTCCATCCACGTTGATGAATAATATAAGACTACACATTAGATACACTACTTTATGCACTTACAACAGTATCGTGAATATAACGAGTTTACTAGCTTTAGTTAACAAACTGAATATGTTGTAGTCTGTCTTAGGAACATTCCTATCTAACGTTTGATACCGTAACAAAAAAATCCAACTTTCCTAAGGTTTACCTGAGGTAGACCGGCAATGAATGTTGTATACACACTGTACATAAATAAATCAAGGGTATACAGTAAATAATTAGCATTATACAGTTTTACCTTTACTCCGAAGGTTAAACTATCTAAAATGTCTGAAGACTATGACGAAGTGGTGAGAACGTTTATCAAACGGATTATGCAACATCCTACTGATATTTTGATGTTTGCACAGATCACACAAACTCGAGTCAATTCGTGCCACAAAGAGATATAATACACGGCAGCATCAAAATCAACTGTTAACACTTTATGTTATAAAAATAATATAAGTACAGCATGAGTGAGATATTCATGAGTGAGAATGAGTATGCAGCTTTTTTCTGTGCAGAAAATCCCTCGGTTCCCACCGGTGGTTATGTCGGAGTCGAACCGACTAAAAACCGCACGCCGTCTCGGGTATCAGTAACCGAGGAACCAGTTGTACCCTAAGAATTAAATCCCTGAAGGAAAGCCTGCATCTGCTAAAACCCATGCACCTATGAACGTACACAAAAAATATCGAAACATACGAAGCTAGCATGGGATCTTAACTCACAACTCTTATCTTAACTTACAACGTTTTTTAGGGAAATGTAAAAAACTACTTTACGGTACTCCTATATATTTTTAATGGCCTCCAAACTTCCAGAAAAGACCGTACTCTTTCCTAAAAGGCCGTCAACGCGCTTCTGACTCCTGAGTTGCAGGCGTTCATAGGTGGCGGTAGTCACTTGACATCAGGTCAGCTCGTTTGCCCCCTCTTCCATAAAAAAAATCATGTGGCTATGTTAACCGTCTTTCTTTTGTTTCAGACACTAACCATGTTAGAGGGAACCAAGATCAACTCACCTTCACAAATGGCGAGCGTTTTCGACATTGCCAAGGACACCGTCCTATTTCTCGTATTATCTTGTTACTACATCCTTGAGTCGCTATTCTGGACTTTAGTACCAAATGCAATAAGGCCTATGAAAAGTCTTAAAAGTGATGTAGTATTGGTGACTGGAGGCGGAGGCGGTGTTGGGCGCCACCTAGCGCTGAAACTTGCAAGACTTGGAGCAAAAGTGGTCGTTTGGGATATCAGCAAAGAAGGTTAGTACGTGGTTTTATTTTCTTTTAAACTCTTCTAGCTGAGTAGTTGTTCTTATTTTAAAAACTACAGTACTGACACGAAATCAAATCAAAGCGATTAACATATACGAAACTATTACTTTGTTAGATATATTAACTAGTTAAAATACAAATTACTATATACTTTTTGTATATAACTTTAAACTAAAAACTAAACATAAAAAAAATCAATATACTCGTATTATGCAATTAAAACAAAAATTAATTAATTTATGATCCGATTTAGAAGACCTGCCTAGTTCTGGCTCCAACAAATAGTTAGAGTACTATTTGTTGGAGTCAGAACTAGGCAGGGCGAAGTTACTGCTGGGCATGTTTGTTTTTTTTAAGTTTACGAATTTTATAATATGAAATGTTTGTAAATGAAATTAAAAGTTCTTTTGTGCCATAACATTGAAAAGTAGTTTATTGCCGTCTTGAAAAATTAACGTCTGGTGGGTTATCTAGTTACGAACAAATATCAATGCTACAAAACTTTTGTATAGGGATAAGTTATTATAGGTGAATAGGATAGCCCGATACCCTATTAACCTTGCCTTGTACTAATTTTTATATTTTCACTCACCAAATCAACTTTCAATACAGTAGAACAATTAAATTGCTTTAAAACAAAACTATCCTTCGGGTCCTATGGTCGGCATTTAATGTCTGGGCGCATCTGTGCCAAGGTTCTGTTATGTTCACTAACTTTCTAACACTGAACGCATTAGTTTACAATCTATTTATAGAATTATTCTCGAACGGCCTAACCTTGTATCTTAAAGTGGTTGTAATATAAAAATGTCTATAAACGTATCTACTTTAGAAGTACTTAGTATTTTATGATTAGCATCATCAATTAATACATGGATATAAATTAATTCTTTCGAGGTATCCGAGATAGCAGTAAGTTAAACAGGCGTTTTTTTCAATTTTTGCTATCTCAATTAGGCGAGCGTTGCCCCAGCGAAAAAAGTTCGAATTTCATTATTTGAGTTTAACAGATATACCTTTAGAATCTATATGAAACAGTGGTCCAGTCATAGTAAATTATCCCATAGCTCATTAATTACTAAGAGTACATCAATGATAGTTGGCAAGACGTTGTAGATGCTTACAAGATATGTATAACCGTTATAATATAGGATCTACCTAGTGCATAAACATTAAGTACTAGGACCTAATAACCTTATTTTACGTTTATATTTTTATCTTCTGACCGGTATGGTTTTTTTTAACCCGTTTTTACAAACAGTATAAACAAATTTAAAACAACGAATGAAAAAATCTACACCTCTCTAGAAAAGCGTTTTATATAAAATCTAGCAAATGGCCGAACGTTGTCGCAGCGGAAACTTGAATATCTTCGCAGTTTATTGATGCACAAATTTCATTTAAACATACCATCTTTTCTTCTACCGTCCATAGGATAAAAAAGTGCCGCTGGAACAACGTTGTCACAGTGGACACAGTTTTTCGTGAATATCTCCCCAATGGTTACATGCAAATAATGAAATTCAAACTTTTTCCACTGGGGCAACGCACACCTCAATTAGATACTGCAGGTACTAGTAAATCGGGACTCGTTAACCCGTTTGCCTTATAAAAAATATCGTGGTCTAATTGGGATGGTTCACCATTATCTATACTAATATTATAAAGCTGAAGAGTTTGTTTGTTTGTTTGTTTGAACGCGCTAATCTCAGGAACTACTGGTCCGATTTGAAAAATTCTTTCAGTGTTAGATAGCCCATTTATCGAGGAAGGCTATAGGCTATATAACATCACGCTAAGATCAATAGGAGCGGAGCGGAGCAGCACCACTGAAGAATGTTTCAAAAACGGAGAAAATTTATTACTATTGAGAGACGCAGACGAAGTTGCGCGGGTCAGCTAGTCAATTATAAATTTAAATTTGTATCACATATTATTTATACATTTAAGTCTTCTGAACTTCTCCTGTCGTGGTATTTATAATATCCACAGTTAGAGGCGCTGATATAACTTTGATTACGTGATTTGTTAATGTGATCAAGCCGCGGTCAAGTGTAGAAGAACATAGGCAACTTTTAACCTTTACAGATAGCAAAATCTTCAATAGCAAAAGAAAATTGGGATCTTTATACTTATATCTTTGTATTTTTGGTAAGCAAAGTCAGTTCGGTACAAGTCGTCCTTCTCCGGTAAGGTGTGGTCTCGTGGGGATTTCCATATGACTAAAATAAGGTATAAATATATATTTTTCAAGTTTTTCAAATATTTTGTATTGTTATCCTGAATAGCATTATAACGTTTAAGAATTATTTAAAAGAAATTTCCATCGCTCTAATCATATTTGAAGTCGTCATCATTGATGAAAACTAAAAAATTTAACAAAAGTAAAAATTATTAAGCCTTAAGTTCTGCCGACAGTTCTCAACTAACATGCGGGTCCGAAACTCGAAGCTATAGGAGTTTTTAAACTCCGATGACAATCCTCTAGACTCGCCTTTCTGACTCGTGTCAACTTGCTCAAACATACGAGTACAACAATGTTAAAGTTTTTAAGAGTTTTTATTTCTTAAACATTTGTATTTTACTAATTGGAATTATATGTATGTTGTGTTACGTAGGTTTGCAGAAGACTTGCGCAGCAGTAATAGACGAAGGCTACGAAATCGCAAGCTACGTCGTAGACCTAGCTGACCGTAGCGCTGTCTACTTAGCCGCTGAAAAGGTCAAGAGAGAGGTACTCGTTTTAGCATTATTACAATTATCAATATTAAAAAAAAACACAATTACTTGGTTAAACAGGAAATATATAAAATAAATGAAACTGAAACTTACTGATCTTCAGTACATTTTTTTTTCTTTTTTTTTTATTTAAATTTCCTCGATCCTGTTTACAAAGCGATAGGGAGATATTATTACTGGACGTTATTTACAGTCATATTTATTAACTTGTAGTTCATTAAATCAACGTTACGCTGTATAAAAATTATTAGTAAATCGCTCGGAAAAAGCCTTTTTTCTCGATGTTCTGGATGAATGGATTTCACTATGTCCAATATATTTATTGTCTTCATAACGGTAAAGTAATGTCCCGGTAATGTGGTGGTTCGCAAACGCTTTCACGCCTTATTAACTGATCACTATCAAAATTTAGCATACCCGAAGCCAGAGATACGTGAAAGAGAGTTGCTAGGAACATACTTGATATGTCAAGTCTATAAAATATATACACTTGATATCTAGTCTTTGATATGTCCTAAGCATGCAACGTATAAGACGGTATGATGACATATATATACATATATATGACATACATATATTATGGTATTATGACATTAACTAAATTTTTATTTTAAATAATATTAAATTAAGTAACTTTTCTCAGTAAGACATTATACATGTCATAACATAGTGGACATTATCAGTGTTTGTCACCTATATCTGCATACCTATATTATATTATAGAAATGAATAAATGATTTATTGATTTGAGCTTTATTGATGTGTCAGAAATTACAGTTATACGGTTTTAGAATGTCCTGTGATTCATTCTGTCTGAATTTAGAGTTATAATTTTATGTCTAATGTATGCTTGACTCAAATAAACATTTTTAATTTTTATATTACATGTACTTGTATAATAGAAATATCATATAAGCAAAGACGAGACCAAAAACTAGTATCATTTATACAATAAACTTTTAACTGTAAAACCTTTTTTATTTCCGTGATGTACCTACGGTATTCTACGATAATCCCTATAGATAGTATAGTATAGGATAGATATCGATACATTGATTCTTGGCCCCAAAAACACACACACGACCCCATTCACCATCTCCACTCATTAAATAACATGACATCTATATTTACAGGTTGGAAAAGTGGATGTGTTAATTAACAACGCTGGCACAGTATTTGGTGAAACACTATTGGACCTATCGGACAACGCTATTGAAACAACTTACAAAGTCAACATCCTCTCGCATTATTGGGTAAGGTATTATGTATTTCAAATAATTGGATCATCTCCATGATTATGCAAAGAAGTAGGTACTCAAAAGCTCGTCTTTATTTATTTATTAGCTTGCAACATTTATGTTGTAACATTTGAGACTAGCTAATGGAATTTTTTGAAACTATTAAGCTTATTTGAACTGATTGTAATAATAATGATTTTTAATAGTCATTTAATTAGGCAAAACACCGAATCAAAAATGGACCAAGTGCGTGCCGGAGCACAGGCAGGTGGCTACTGAAAATGTCTATTTTACTATTGTATGTCTTTACATATATAATTCTTCTGTGCGTTTGTATGTGGAACACCTCCTAAACGACTTTGATGAAATTTTGTGTGTTTATGTGGAGTCGAGAATGATTTAGATTCACAATTAAGTCCACTACAAAATGATTTTTAGTTCAAATTTTTAAGTCGTCTGTAGGGTCCGCTAGTTTCTTATATAAAAGAAAAATACCAGAAATTACATCTATAGCAAACCTATTCAAACATGTCACATGATGAACATCTGCATAATCTACATATATCATAAATATACGTTTTGGAATTATTGTTGTACGTTACGTATGCACTATGCTGGTGTCCATTATTCTGAAAGGAATTAAATATTGCACTTTTACTTCTGTAAGTATATGCGTTTTAGAAAATTAATTACCTACCTGCGAACTTACGACTAGACACATCACATAATTAAATTGCTGCTTTTATTTTCAGACGGTCAAAGCCTTCCTACCTGAAATGATCAACACCGGCAAGGGACATATCGTGACAGTTGGCTCCGTTGCCGGATTACTGGGCACGTACCGCTGCACTGACTACAGCGCCACCAAATTTGCTACTGTTGGCTTCCATGAAAGCCTCTTCACCGAGCTAAGAGTATGCACCTAGTTGTAATAATTGGTCTGATATCACTCTAATGCTATCGATAAAATTAAGTTGATATATGGAATGCAAAATTATTAATATTCGGACTTACAGATAGTGTTATTTGTAAGGTACAAATACTACGATTGAGTATAGTACAAATGGCTTTACAATCATATCGATCAGTTTGACCCGTTGGTCTAGTGGTTAGTGACCCTCACTGCTAAGCCGAAGATAATGGGTTCGATTACTCACCTAGGACAAATATAGTGTGATGAGCACGGTCACTTGTTCGGTGCCTGGATGTAATTTATCTATAATATGTATGTACCTATGTATGTATTTAGAAATATATAAGTATGTTTATCACCAGGCTGGTTACCATGGTACAGGTTCTGCCTAGTTTGGAATCAGACGGCCGTGTGTGAGATGTGTGAAGTTATTATTATTATCATAATCAATTTAAATAAATTGTGGTTTCTCAGGCTCACGGCCACAACACAATCCATGCTACCCTAGTGTGCCCATACTACATAAATACGGGTATGTTTGACGGCGTCACTCCTCGGCTTATGCCAATGTTAGAGCCGGACTACGTGGCGGAGACCATGATCGATTCCATCAGGAAGAATGAAGTCAATTGCATAATGCCTGGTTCAGTCAGATACCTTTTGCCTTTAAAGTGGTAAGTTCTTATTATCTGTACATAACTTTTCCAAATCCATCTCCGTCCAGTTTTAAGTAAATTGAATTACATTGTCTCTAATATTAGATATAACACCGACAGAGCGGTAACCACAACGCTTAATTTCAATAACCCCCAATCGGTTTGAACTGGTATTTTTGGAACAAAGCGAATCCTCGAATCCTCCTCTTTTCTCAAGAATGAGACGGATCTCAAGGTCCATAAATAAGAGAGTAAATCATGAAAACGTTCATAAGATACTGTTTCGATACTCGACCATTCAAACTATCTGCGAACATATTGAGCTAAAAAAGTTTCTATGACCTATTTATTATGACTGGCTTTATGGAAAGCTCCCACGTAGCCTATCTTGGTACGTCGACTGTCCAGGTTCAGGCAGAAGGCGGACGAGGTAGAGTAGAAAACCGACGCGCTGTAAACTGTTAAAATGCCCTAAGCACTGAGCAAGTCGGAACTGTGTGACATTTTCTATATTAACTGAACAGTCTAAACGTATGTAATTTCAACACAATAAAAATTATGATATGATGTTTTCATTACAGCCTCCTCCCAGCGAAAATGTGCTGGGATCTGATGCACCGCGTGATGAAAGGACCACAGTCTATGATGGAGTTCAAGGGAAAGCCTAAGGCTGTAACTCAATGATTTAACGGTTAATATTAGGCCTAAGACCACTGGAAAAAAAATGTGATGGTTGAATAAAAATAAATAAAAGCCGACAACCTGAAATTATCTGAATCAAAATCGCGCCATTCAATATTTTTGTTTTGTAGCACATATCAGCATTCAGATTTTTCGTTTAACATTTTATATTTATATCCTCAAAATTCTGTTCAACAAATATTTTAGGTAATAAGAAATCCTAAAGTTTTTTTTATAATGCCTGCTCATCTATTAGAAAATTTCCACATCAGACCACAGTAGTAAGTGGAATAGTAACAAAGTGACTTAGCATTCCATAAGTTGCAGGCATTAATAGGTTTAGACAATAGGTGATTTATTAGGTTTAACTTACCTTGAAATATTAAGACTGTATACATTTTCAGTAGCATTTTAAGGTTAAATTATAAGTAAAAAGAAATATACCATATATTAAATTTATTATGTTTCATTAGAAACCCGGAATAATGAATATCACAAAAACAATAATAACTTAAGATTAATATCACACACATCAGAACAAATCGTAGAAGTAATCTAGACCCTGGCCTAGCTCCCATATAGCAACTCCAGTGCCATATTCCTTGGCTAATTCTAGACGTTTTTGAATAGAGTATAAAGTGGGATAGAATATCTTCTTTGTACCCTGTGACGTCCTGTAATTAAAATAAACAATAGTTTAACACAATCATACATCAAAGCACAAAACAAGTTTTTTCAGCTTGTTGTTTTTCACTCTAAATTGAGGACATAAAAGACACAATCTTTTTCTTTCAATTAAAAAAACCCAAAGAAGAATTGATAATTTTGAGATTTTCGAAGACTTCTGAAATAATAATATTGCAATATTTATTATATAGAAGACGTTTTATGTTTGTAATTAACGTTTTCAAGTCGTATTATCAGGGATTCAAATAAGGATATTGGGTAACGTTCATAAAAAAAAAGTCCTCTTCCGAAGGACATTGAATCGTTTGTTAATATAATAATTGATAATATAATTTATATTAACACAATTGTGCAAAACGTAGTATGTAGGTAATACTTTTAACTTGTGCACACCCTGGGAATCGTTTACCATTCCCAACAACCAAAGTAACAAAATATTTTTTATAATAAACAACATTTACCTGATTTCTATGTAATTTTCAGCTGTGTTATTGTTATATGAGAGAGCTTGGTTATTTTTGGCATTCTTTAATAATTCTATATACTCTGTACCCACGATTGGACCACCACCATTGGCTGTGTAAGAGTTACCATAAAAGTTCAATCCAAGCAAGATCTTGGATCTTTTTGCTGGCATCTCATCACTGTCGAGTAGTTTTTCTACACACAATCTGACCCAATATAGGGGTGCATTAGGACCTGCAATTGAAAAAAAATCTGAACTTAAAATTGACCCCTTTCACATTAAATTTTAGAGCAGATAAATAGAAACAATTAGTAGTAATTGTGAAAAAAATTGTATATTTTTTTTAAACACAAAAAAGGGATATGACACTACAGAAAAATCTCATTTGTCAACTGTTTTGTGATATCAATTTGTGACACATGAACATTATTTTTACTTTATATTGACAAAAAATCAATGATTTTGTCACTTCATACAGCAATACCATTTGCTAGTAACCCATTATACAGGGTTCCTGGGTAAGTCGACCGAAATACATTATGAAGTTGTAGTTGCCATAATTTCTGATAGATTTCATTATGCCATTATACCATACCCCAAACCTAACCATTTTAATAAAAATTGCCGAAATGTTATCTAATATATATATTTTTTTATAACATATCCTTTATTTTGTTTTTTTTTTACTGTTTTGTTGTAGTTGATACATTCTTTTATAATTTCCATTACTAAAATTGTAGTTAACTTAACCGACAGGGCAAAAGTAGATGGTTAATAATAGCAAAAAAAAAGTAAAAACTTTTCCTTGACAAATATTTAAAAAAAATATGTTAAACTGCAGATATATTAAAAATCATGAACGTATTATCAGCTATCTAACAAGGTATAACAGTCTAGGATAGTATCAGAATTCATAGAAAAACATTTAGATGTCAGACCAAGAGCATGAAGAATTAGCGTGCAACCCGGTAGTACCCAGTTAAAAACTAGGCTTGTAATTTTTGGCCTGTTTCGTTTTCCATTTATGACTAACTATTGCTAATTAAACTTTGATTGGTGCTTCTGATACTGTTGGAGATGACACCCACTGGATGACTAGGGGTGATGACACTCTGTATTCTTAAACCGTCACCACACGGACGAAAAGTGTAGTTTTGCTGTGAATGTTGCGAGCCTATACCCAAGTCACAATATAAAATAAAGGAATAAAATAAAGGATATGTTATAAAAAACATTGGCAAAATGTCGGCAATTTTTATAAAAATCTTAAAAGGCCAATATCTTGAAAATTTTATTTTAATTTTAATTTTTGAAAATCTTGAAAGGTCTGGGATGTGGTATTTCATAGTGAAATCTATCAGAAATGGCATGGCATGGCAGAGATGGCAACTACATCCCCTTAAAGTATTTAGGTTGACTTACCCAGTAAGCCTGTATACTGACATTCATTTCTTTTGTAAACATTTATTTCACTTTTCTCATAATGCACTGCTTAAAATTCCCCACTTACCTGGTTTCTGCGGATTTGAGAAATCATAAGTCATAATCGAAACAGCTTCCACATAAGGATATATATCATTAAATGCTTGAATGAAAAACTCATCAGTGGGATATCCACGGAATGGTGGATAGACTAGAATTAGACTTAGATCATCTTCATTCATCTCTAGACCTGGAAATTGAATATTTTCAAGAAATTTTGTTAAATTTTAAAAACTTACTAAGACTACTACTAGTAACTAACTATTTATGTGATTTAAGGATTTTATTTTTTTAGTTTTACTGTACATGACACTTGACAATTCATCATCATCAACAGCCTTTATAGTCCACTGCTGGACATAGAAATCGCCTTAGAAAGGATGTTTTTGCCTACTATACCACAATAGCCAGACAGGTTGGTATAGGATTTATGTCAAGTTTTCCTTCTCTTTGCAGTGCTGTTGTCCTGCATACTTAGCTCCCTTAGTCGGCACTTACGACACCCACAAGATGAATAGGGGTGGGGACACTACATATTCTGAATCTGTCACCATACAGATAGCAGACAGTACAGTATCAAATAGAATATAATTACTTTAAAAAACATTCTAAGTAATTTCATCGTAGCTTACCAAACTGCTGTATAAACTTAACAGATTTGTCAACATATTTGCCAATTTGAGAGAGCATCTCTAACACCACACCATCAAACTTCCACTGCTTACAAGCTTTCTTTATCTCTTCAATAAGAGCCTTTTGTTCTGTATGGGATGAGGGCTCCATGAAGAAAGCCTTCAGATCTGACGGTTGCCAGTTTTCAAAGATAATTCTGGGTAAGACTAAAACAAAATGTGCAATGTACAAAATAAATATTTTTTTATTTACAACTCAAAAACATGATATCAGTTTGAAACATTAAAAAAGCATAAGTAGTGAAATGCTTACCTTCTCTGAGATCTACTTAAAATAAAATAGTCTTAAAAATAGATCATAAAGTTTTGAAATCTTTTAGTGCCTACTAATATATAAAATATTGAGTTACAATTATATATTTTTTAAATTTTAAATTTATCATTTCCAGATGAAACAGTATTTGTAAAATACCAATCCACAGCCAAACATGCCATTTCACATCAACAGCCTTTAATAGTCCACTGCTGGACATAGGCCTCTCCTTAGAAAGAAGGTTTTGGCCTACTATACCACGCCAATAACTAGTTACATGCCATATCACAGTAATGAATTAACAACTGATAACAGTATATGGGAATAAAGCAGGGCTGCCAATTGCCATACATGGATAACAATAGTAAATATATACATACTCTTTAAGTTGCTAGTAGATCCTTTATGTCTAACATTCTTCATCCAGGCATGGTCGACATCATGTAAACCCGATATAATATAAATATTCGGCGACTGACGCTTTATTTGAAGCCACACAGGAGAGATATAGTTAAACTTTGGTGCCCAAGACTTCGCAACATCGTAACCCTTGTTGTTCCACTATAAAATAGAAAACACGCGTTCACAGAAACTTTTAATTGCTTAATACTTTAAATGTTTCAAAGAAATTCCGCTAAATACTTACAGGTGTAACGTAACCCAAAACAGAATTCCTAAAGTTACGTGCTACAACGTCCTGGTGGTAAGTGGCGTGGTATTTTATTATATCTTTCACTAAAGGTGTTTCATTTACTAGTTTACGATCCAACACATTATTCTTTCTTGGACCTTCTTGCGGCTTTACACCTTTCTGTCCTTTTTTATCAGAGGGCGGCGATAACGTGGCTAAACACACATTTAGCAGGAAAATAACTTGTAATATTGTCTTGAAACATTTCATCGTAACGATAAGGTACAGAAAGATTTAGTCTTTATCATGAAGTTTTACAAAAAAGTGCAAAAACCTGTATTTACAACAACGTAGTCGAAAATAAACAATTCGCCGGCTACGAGTCACGGCCCTACGATAACGAAAACGTCAATAACATTATTACAATATGTCAGCTTGTCAGTGGCTGTGAATCGATTTTTAAACTGTCAAATAAATATTATTATTCAAATCTGTGTGGCTTCGATTGTTATCGATTATTATTTATTATATTTTAAATAAAATAGGTAGAATGAACAGTGAATATTCATGGGGCAATTTGATATTACCTACTTTTTTAAAGCACTGTGACAAGATTTGAAACAAATGAAAAGTAACAATAATTATTTAATTAATTGTAATTCCAGGCTCTGCCTAGTTTGGACTCGTCTGAGATTTGTGAAGTTATTATGATTATTAAATTTTGTAAATATTTGCCTGGTCGCGCAGAAAGTAGCTAGTAGGCATCGATGACTACAAATCTTTATATGTTCATGAACTGTCTACGCTACAAAAACACCCCTCATTCACCAACGACCGCCTTCCATTTTCGCCGTAAATGCGAGAGGACGTCTTGCGCTCTTTTTGCCCATCCGTGGAGCTGTCACCTATGTGAGAAGTAGTTTTGATGTAAATATATTTTAAATGACTTTTCGGCTCTACAGACCTTAATTGAGCATATGCCTTATTTTTATTAAGTACCTTACACATATATACATTTTAATCTCTTGACCAGAATTTCTCAATTTAAGCGGCAATTTTGAAGCTCCGCATGCGATGACATGAAACTTTTTCTTTAAATAGCAATATAAAGAATCTGAAAATTTTAAAAAAAAATTGACCACGCACTGATTCTACAATTATATAAATTGACTTGATCTTCCATTGCAAGAACAAATATGTATAAGTAGAGACATATTATTATTCGTAAGCAAAAACTACACACGATACTTTAAAGAAAGAAAAAAAATATTACTATTTTTATCTAACTTTTTCAACGTTATGATTGCGCAATAAATAAATAAAAAGTGAGTGTTGGCGAGCGTCATATGGGTCACATTTGGAATGACCCATATTGGTTTACAAAAAGAAATCGGCTTGGAAGTATAGTACAGGGAATGACCATTACAAAAAAGCGCGCTAACCTAACAAGCCACATTAAAAAAATATTTTTTTTTTAGAGCAATGTATTGCGCGATTAATTATTGGTTAATTAATGCAAATTCAGAGCTACGTCGACTGGACTACGATAGCTGGCCGCTATCGTAGTCCAGTCGACGTACTGCCGTGAGCGCAGAAAGTACTAGTTCTTTATTCACTAATTTAAACAAATTAATATGTATCCAATAACCTGAAAATTTGGATATTTGTAGTTAAACTCCTCCTTAATACATAGGTACATACATACAAGCACCAAGGGTACATGGGGATTCTCACATAGGAGGGGGTAATTTACATGCCGTAGATGGCCAGAGGTCGTCGGGGTATCAGGGATTTAATAATAATAATAACTTCACACATCTCACACACGGCCGTCTGATCCTAAACTAGGCAGAGCCTGTACTATGGTATGGACCCATCCAGACACAGAACAAATCATCGTGCTTATCACACAATTATTCATCCTGAGTGGGAATCGAACCCACGACCTCCGGCTTAGCAGTCCGGGTTACTAACCACTAGACCAACAGGCCCGTCAAATTCCCTTCCTAGGGTACACCTGGTTCCCGGGCTACTGGTACCCGACATAACCTAATATACCATAATGCATTATTAATAGCTACTAGTTGACGTTACTAAATGTGTGATTGTGAAGACTACAAATTTTAGTTGTAATTTCCTTACTAGAACTTTTATTTTTTTACGTGTGGATATTTGCGGTAAGGCGGTGTATCGAAATCGAACCGACTAAAACCCACACACGCGATATGAGGGATCCAGTAACAGCTTTTATGAAGACGTCCGGGCCTTTCTTTTTTTTTTGGTGGCCTGGCCTCACCTTTCACCCCCAGGCCTGCAGGATGGAAGTCATTTAGCGCCTACACCTTCCTTTTCGAGCATAACTTTCTCGCAGAAGGAGGTAGCGGAGTTCTTCGTGCCATCGCTCCGTACCATGGCCACAATCATGGTACCGAGCTAGAGTATCCTCACTCCGATGGCCGTCACGAGGCCACGGTTCTGCCCCATCCACGCCACTCCGGGCATTCTAGCAGCGTGTGGAGCGCCGTGTCCACGCTTCCACGTTCCTTGCGAATCAGACACAGGTTATCTCATGCGGCAGCTGGCATGAGAGGGTCTCGTGTTTCCTCTCGAGCCAATCCTCCATAACGAGTCTTATCGCCGCTATAATGGCATTCCCGGCGCTTGATTGCCCAAGTCTTTCTCTCCACTTTTCCATGAGGGCCCTGCAAAGTTGCAATTTCTGGTCTTCGATTTCTCGAATTCCAGGATCCCGAGCGCCATGCCTCATCGACGGCTCGATGTCGACGAAAGTGACTCCTGCTATGAGACTGTATCCCCCAAGTGGCCCACTCCGAGGCTCATGAAAGAACAAAGCCTTAGATTTATGCAGAGACACCTCGAGTCCCACCCGCCGGATCCTCACGGTGCGCCTTACCGCACGCCGCGCCGTCACGAGCGTGTCATCCACGTAGCCACACCGGGACGTCACCTCGGAGAGTTGAGAATAAAACCCGACTACCTGAGACCACACTCAGGGTGGCATTAGGCGCTGGAAGGCTCGCCAGCCATAGAACGTATAACGCTGGTAGCGAAAAATCCTCTCTGATGACTGCAATGAGCACCCGACGCTACGTTGACCAGTGTGAGCTGAGCCAAGTTCAAACTGCACTGCAGTGGTGACAGGCGCAACTCAATTCACTCCTAGCGATCGACTGCTGGTACCTCTCTAAGCAGACGAGCCCAACAGACCCTTTCCTCCCAACAGACCTGCGTCAGTCGGAAGAAAAGGATCAAGCACTGCCAACGTCCCCACTAGGCGCCGAACGGCTGGACCGTCTCCACGGCGCCCAAGCCAGTACCTGGAGCCTCCAGCCGGGACGACCAACGAGTCATCGTGGCTCGGTAAGCTGCCTTTAGCCACTCATTTCCGCTTATAAAGCGCCTTTAATGAGAACGTGCGGATACGCGTTTGCAGTATCCGTAACTAATCATAATATTAGCATATTCCTCACATTTTACAAATATGCAGCTTAACTGTCATAGATTTTTTTTAATATTCGTCAAAGAAAAAAAAAATTTTTACAGCTTTATTTATTTTTCTAATTATTAACCATCTACTTTGGTCCAATCTGTTAACTACAATTTTAGTAATTGAAATTATAAAACAATTTATCAACTACACAAAAACGGTAAAAAAAAAGCATAAAGTAAAAGACATAAGTTCTAAACAAATTGTATTAGGCAAAATTTCGGCGGGTTTTATAAAAGATCTTAAAAGTCCAATATCATGCAAATGGTTATTTTTTAGATATGGTATTTCATAGTGAAATTAATCAGAAATGATGGTAACTACAACCCCTTAAAGTATTTAGGTCAACTTACCCGGTAACCCTGTATATTACCTAATAACCTAAAGAACACCCAGACTCAGAACAACCATTTGTGGATCATACAAACTGTTGTTCCATGAGGGAATCGAAGGCAAAATACTCAGCGGAGTAGAAAGCGGCGTGACGAATCATACGAAATATAAATGAATATAAAAGTATTAAGGATTTACTTAGATACATCCTTCTTTTATACGAGAGCAATGAACTGTACCTGTATGTATTCTTCTCTTCTTCTTCTGTATGTGTTAGGAACTATAGATTTGTGACACTTTGTATCAATGGTTACTATACAAAGTGTTTCGTTTCTAACTTATTTTTATAATTCACCTCGTACTAAATAGATATAAGTATTTCTAGCGGTCATCAATGGTCATGTTATAGCGTAATCGTATTTTCATTGTATGCATTTTGGTTTTGGTGAGAAATAAACGATATTATTATTATATTATCAAATTTGAATATCACGTAATTTTTTCATTGATCCAATTAACTTAATATGTTAAAATCCTAGAAATCGTAATAATAAGACATTAAAAAGCGCATAGACGCTTGACTATATCGCTGCAATGAAGTGTAGACAAAAATCACTTACAGAAATTCACACAAAACGTGATTTAGTTGCGCGGAGCGTCGTATATGAGTTTATATTGTTAAAATGGTGAACTGCAGCATAATAGGTTGTGAAAACGATCAGAGACGTGTAATTCAACTAATAAAGGCAAAACATTTCATCGGTAAGTATATTTTTACTCATATATTTGTTTTTACTAATTTACATTTCGATGAATACTTTAATAAGATATCTGTGGTTGTAAACAACAAGCTGCTTTGGTTTTTATTGAACGCGATGTTGACAAACTAGCCAAGCAATTTAACTTGAAGCATATAGATATCGTTGTTCGTTCCGATGTTTATAATACGGCTGCAGGCCGGTAGTAACAGTCGCCAGTTAGTGTTGTATCCGTTCCATTCATTTGAATGAAAGTACAGTTTATATCGATGTCAGTATAAAACGATATTTTTCAGATTTTCGAACGTAAAAAAACTAAACGAGATATGCAGGTAAAATATTCTTAATATAAATTATACAATAATTTCTTTGGGAATTTAAGTATTTGTTTAAGTTAGCATACTGTATGTGTTGTGTGTTGTAAATGTAAATAAAATCCTGATGTTTAACATCAGGGTCTTTCGGGAAATCTCTCGGGCAAACATTTTAAATAAATTTCTTAAGTCAATAAACTACTAGACTACAACACTAAACTACTAAACTACTAGAGATATTTACCTTTATGCAGTTAACTATATTTTCAAACATAGTGTTAGGAATAAGCGTATTACACAGTTGACGACTATGTAAATATAAAAAAAGAAACTATTCTGTTTCTTACTTACTTCTTAATAACTTATTTCTGTAATAATACAAATCTAATTGTTACCTATTAGAACTATTTGTTCAGCACTAGATTATTATCTAAATTTTTTGTTCCTGGGAGTTTTAATATTTTTTTTAATTTGTTATTCATCATATTTTTTCATTATAATAATAATATTTCGGACATCTGACACAACGCCATCTAGTTTCAAACTAAGCAGAGCTTATGCTATGAAAGCTAGATTGACTGATAGAATAATTGTATACAGTTTGTAAATATATTAATAATAATATATTGTATATTTTACTACATTCACACAACGCCATCTAGTCCCAAACTAAACAGAGCTTGTACTAAGGGGTACTAGACAACTGATATGAATACATTTATACTTTTTTTTGTAAATACATACATATTATACATAGAAACACCCAGACCAAATCAAACATTAAATGTACATGCACACAAATGTTTGACTTGAGCGGGAATCGAACCCGCGACCTGTTGAATAGCAGTCCGTTACACAAACCACTATGCCATCCGGACGTCAAAATAATAAAAAAAAAACATTCATATATACATAGAGAATACCCAAACTCTGAAACAAATAGGTATTTGAGAGTCATACAAACATTTGGTCCGACCCGGGAATCGAACCCGAGACCTCAGCACAGCGGTCGCATAAACTACCGCTGCGCCAGCGAGGTAGTCTTTGTTCTTGCAACTGTGTCATAAGTGTACGCTCGAACCTAGATTAATAAAGTATTTTAACTGTTAATGGAGAGCTTGATTTTAAATAATATTAATAATAATATTAGGGGCATCTGCCACGGGGGGGGGGGGGGTCGTCTACTCGTCTGTAGATGGCCCGAGGTATGTCGGGGCACCAGGGACTTCCTTTCTAGGGTATACCTGGTTCTCCGGCTATTAGTACCCGAGACGGCGTGCGGTTTTAGTCGGTTCGAGTCCGACATGCCACCGATAGGTGGTATCCGAGGGGATTTCCGCACGGAAAAAAAAAAAAAGGGGGCATCTGCCACACAACGACATCTAGTTTCAAACTAAGCAGAGCTTGTACTATCAAAACTAGACTCTAACTCCGAAACAAATATTATTATTATTATATTGGGTACCTACTATTAATTTATAAGTTTCATCAATATTTAAAAAAAATGTTTATATCTATGGTTTTCATTGCTACTTGAATCCATTTTATTTTTATGTACTATAAAAAAAAAATATCGACACCTTCGAAAAATTTAGTCGGGAAAATTTTTGTTAAATCGAAGAAGATTGTTGGTGCCACATAACATATTGAAGTAAAATGCAATGTAATTCTTGGAAGTTAAGGTTCATAATATTTTGTGCCCTACACATTTCACCGTTGTTTTGCAAGTGTGTGCGAGTCTTATACCTAAGTATTTATTTGTTTTTGTGACTCAATGTTTTTGTGTATGTATTAAGATGTGGCGACATCGGTTTTGGAAGCAATCGGGCGCTAATTCATTTCTAGTGTCTTATTATTACGATTTCTGTGGTTAAAATTCAAATTACCTTTAATATCGGCAGTGCCTTACAGACGTGAAAGATATCGAAAGTTTCTCACTTCAAAACTTGTGTTCTGACGCCAACATATCTTTCTAAACATAAAGCTCTAAATGTTACTTTAAAAAACTTGAGGCTATCTAATGCACGTTATAGGGAACTTATTAGATACAAAAAAACAGATAATTACACATTTATGTAAAAATACAAAAATAAAAAGTGGTTTTATTTTCCTTTCCTTTTGTTACAACCGTCGTCACTGCCTACAACGCAACGGTGTAAAAGAAAGTAATGCTTGCGGTCGACGATGTATGAGTAGTTTATTGATAAGTCAGCCAGTTCTACTACAGAAACCGGGGCTACAAGATGGCTCGTCATCTTTTGCGTGTTCCAACCGCTATTGTATTTGCTTTATTAGTTTTTTTATTAGGTAAACAGTGGCTTAATTTTTACATAAATTTTCCTTGTTCTGTGTTGTTATTTAGTGCATCTTTTTAATTATTTTGTTATTTGTGTGTTAAATGAAGATGGAATATAGATAATAATTTCACAGGAGTACAAGGAACTCATCGGCGGAAAAGAAGCTTATCAGATGTGAAGTGTCATGAAAACGGAAGATTTTATAGGTAGGTTTATTCTATGTTATGTTGCTATAGTGGATGGTATGGTATGCCATGATACAAATTTGCTCAGATCATTACAACACATTACAAACTTACATTACATTACAAACTAGGTATTTGTACCTACCTTGTTTGTATGACCTGAGCAAATTACTTGAGATGGTAAACAAAAAAAAAATAGTAACGTCTATTTTTACAAAGAAAGACATTTTTAGTGATAACGACTTTTTGCAGTTATTTGGACGTAAAATCTATCATTTGTTTTTTGATCTTCTTGTTGTTAAAGGGATCTTTAATAAAAAAAACTATAAATAACATTCCAGCATTGCAGGGTTCAATTTTCCCTGCAACTGTGTTAAGGACAAGTCGATAAAAAGTGATCACTTTAATAAACAAAAGTTTGCCAGACCAGTGGAATGTTATGGAAATAATTTAATATTTTCCTTTAATTTAGTGCATGATTGAAGAATTCTGCTACTAATTTTCACCGAAATATGCAATTTTGCCTATCCATAATAATAACATAACATAATAACATATCCACACATCTCACACACGGCCGTCTGATCCCAAACTAGGCAGAGCCTGTACTATGGTAACCAGACCGCTGATAAACATACTTATATATTTCTAAATACATACATATTATAGATAAATTACACCCAAAGAAATTATAATAATATTATTATATTATTTAATATTATACAGAAATCTATTTTTTTTTATTGGAATTGGATAACGCAATTTGTTTTATAACCTACCGCTTAACTTCATTTTAAAGATAATTATGAGACCAATTCACAATATAATTTAAAACCTTTATTATAATGCATGGTTATAGCTATGACATTTGTTTATTAGTTATCCAGAAGTTCCATTTCGTGTCAATTCTATGATATCACTGCATATGTGATATTTTTATTTGGTCGTCACATGTGATGAAAATGACTTGTTAATTAATATATTACCGATGAGACTGCAAAAACGCGTAAGAGCAGGTTGCAATCGCAAAGTCCCAAAGTTTGGATATTTACATAGCTATATATTACCACTTTACTATAAAACATCAATATAACGAAATCGCAAACAAGTTCAGTTTCCAAAATGTATAATTGGATGTTTAATCTAAGAATGCCTATCCTATTAACCAAAATAATCAATTATTTCTGCCTCTTGTAAAATCTAGAAAATATTGAAAATATTGACTACTGAAACGCCCGTTTAATGTCCCCGGCGGCAGTGGCATAGCAAGTGCGCTTTGCTCTGTAGGTCGTCGATGAATTATTTCAAGTAAAGCACTGTCTGACAAATAGTCTAATAATTTGAGAAATTCCATTGTGTGTTCTACTCTCACTAAAGTGCATTAAGTATTTTAGTGAGAGAGAGCAAGATATGCTCGAGAAGGAGAGGGTGGAGAGGACCTGAAGGGGCATAGAACTCTGCCGGTCTGCCAAGCCCAGGCACCGGAGGTCGCTGAACGTCCTCCGACCTGCATAAGTGCAGGCCTGGGCGTGACAAGTGAGGTCATCTGTCACCAAAAAAAGAAAGGTTCCGACGTCTTCGGTTCCGAAGGAAATCCCTGGAACCCCGACGGGCCCCGGGCCATCTTAGGCTTGTAGATGACCCCTTCGAGTGTGGGAACCACGGTGTTCCCCTTCTACAAACTAAAGAGAGCTCGCGCTACACGTCGCGCCGCCTACCCGGACTGATTCTGCTGGGGTGACAGATAGCCTCACCTGTCACCCTCAGTCCTGCGCTTATGGAAGACGGAGGTCGTTTTGTGACCTCCGGCGCCTCAGTTTGCTACTGTACTTGGCCCGTTCCCGGGCCTGACGGACCGGGAGAGTTGTAAATCTCTCCCGGTCCCGCTCCGCCGTCTCTTTCGCAAGTATAATTCCTCGCAGAAGGAGACGGCGGAGTTCCACGCGCTCTCGCTCCGTACCAGCGCTGCAATCATGGTACTAATCGAGAGAATGATACTTAATCCGCCTCCGGTTACATCACTATTTACTTTTATTATTTACACAAAATTTGACTATCAGAAAATAACATATTCTAAATACGACAACGACGTGTAATATACACTATGGCTGTTGTGTACTGCGGTGATAAGTAGAACATTTTTTTTTATTACCTTGGTATGTAAGTACTCGTATGTATGTATGTAACGGGATCTTCGAACGCGATTTTAACCAAGTTCAAAACGTCGAATTAAATTGAAACTGCACACTTATCAAGGACTAATGACAATGCAATAATTTAAATAGTTTGTCCGTTAAGAATACAGAGTGTCACCACCCCTATTCGTCCCGTGGGTGTCGTAAGAGGCGACTAAGGGAGCGAACTACGCAGGACAACAGCACTGCAGTGAGAAGGAAAACTTGACACAAACCCTATACCAACCCGTCAGACCAGCGTTGTATAATAGGCCAAAACCTCCTTTCTAAGGAGAGGCCTATGGCCAGTAGTGGACTGTTAAAGGCTGTTGATGTGATGTGATGTGTCCCAATATCCTGATCAGGACCTTCAGGATTAACGGCAATTTCCATACCTAAAAATACGGTAAAGTCTTTTGCCACGTACTACTTCATATGTGACAAAATTACTTGTTATTTTTTTAGTCTTAAAAAGAAAAAAATCAACATTAATGACTAAAAAAAAAATATTTTACTGACAGATATTGGTGAAAGTAAAATTATTATATTATAAAATACCTTGAAAAGCACTCCACGCTTTTTTACGAAATAAACTTTTTTTTTGAACTAATAAAAAATAAAAAATCCTGCTTTTTGTTTCGGCTAGCTACAAAAGCGTGTTTTTTTTTTCTTTTTACATGTTACTGTTTATGAACATGTGCTGTAATGAAAATAAAAAACCCATATATATATATATATATATATACCCATATATATACGGATCTACTAGCGGACCAGACAGACATCGCGCCTGAACGTAGAATTTTCGTTTTGGAAAAAATATCTGAAAAAGGAAATACACGGCCAGAATAAACAAAAAACAAGACAAATTTAAAATGCGTTTTATGGAAATTAAGTTCTTTGTTTCCCAATTCTATCTGCATTCGGTGTATCGGTACATCCTATTGCAGGTATATACAACTTCATCCGAAAGGAGGGGCGCCCGGCGGACTCACCGTCCGCCTACCGGCCCATAGTGTTGCTTGACGAGGTGTGCAAGCTCTTTGAAAGAGTGATTGCAAGGCGCCTCGTCAAGCATCTCGTGATGGTTGGGCCGGATCTGGCGGACAACCAGTACGGTTTCCGTCAGGGGCGCTCCACCGTGGATGCGATCATGCGCGTGAAGGCTCTGGCGGAGGAAGCAGTCTCCCGGGGTGAAGTGGTGTTGGCGGTGTCCTTGGACATCGCCAACGCGTTCAACACTATGCCCTGGAGCTGCATCAGGGAGGCGCTCGTGTATCACGAAGTGCCTCTCTACCTCCGCCGCATAGTCGGGGCATATTTGTCGGAGAGAGCCGTCGTCTACCCCAGTAGGACCGGTCTCGGTAGGCGTGAAATGTCGTGCGGTGTTCCGCAGGGGTCGGTGTTAGGGCCACTCTTGTGGAACATCGGCTACGACTGGGTGCTTCGTGGTGCCTTCTTGGATGGTGTCGCCGTCGTGTGCTACGCGGACGACACACTCGTGACGGCGCGCGGCAAGACGCACCACGAGGCAACCCTGAGGGCCACGGCCGGGGTTGCCCAAGTCGTTGAGCGTATCCGGCGGCTGGGTCTCGAGGTGGCTCTGCACAAGTCCGAGGCCCTGTTCTTCCACGGGCTTCGGAGGAAGCCGCCTGAGGGATCTAGCCTCACGGTAGGAGGCACTCGCATCGGCATCGAGCCCTCGATCAGGTATCTGGGGCTCGTACTCGATGGCCGATGGGACTTCGGATATCATTTCCGAGGTCTGGTCCCCAAGTTGGTTGGGGCAGCGCGTGCGTTGGCGCGGCTGCTGCCCAACATGAAGGGACCCGATGACTCCTGCCGGAGACTCTACTCGGGGGTTGTGCGGTCCATGGCCCTTTACGGGTGCCCAGTATGGGCGGGGGCCCTGAAGGCCAGCAACGTCGCGATACTGCGACGACCGCAGCGAATGCTGGCCATCAGGATCATAAGGGGGTACCGCACGATCTCCTTCGAGGCGGCGAGTCTCCTGGCCGGAACTCCACCGTGGGACCTGGAGGCGAGAGCCCTTGCAGCACTGTATCAGTGGCGCAAGGAGGCGCAGGAGTTGGGTCGATACCCCGAGATTCGAGAAATCGATGACCGGAAATCCCAACTCCGCCAGGTCATCATAGGGGAGTGGAGGGAACGACTCGGGCAACCGAGCGCCGGGCACGCCGTCATTGCGGCGGTAAGACCCGTTATGGAGGATTGGCTCGAGAGGCGTCACGGGACCCTCTCATACCGATTGACGCAGGTGATCACTGGGAAGGGATGTTTCGGAGATCACCTGTGTCTGATCCGCAAGGAGCCAACGCCTGAGTGCCACCACTGCGATGGCCAGACCGTGGACACGGCTCTCCACACGCTGGCAGAGTGCCCGGCGTGGGTTGAGCAGAGGCGAGACCTCGTGGCGGCCATCGGAGTGGGAGTTCTCTCGCTCGATAGCCTGATTGCGGCTATCGTGCGGAGCGAGAGTGCGTGGAACTCTGCCGTCTCCTTCTGCGAGCAAGTTATGCTCGCGAAGGAGACGGCGGAGCGGGACCGGGAGAGGTTTAGAACTCTCCCGGCCCGCCAGGCCCGGGCACGGGCCAGGCAGCGCAGGCGACTCAGGCGCCGGAGGTCGCAGAACGACCTTCGTCCTCCATAAGCGCAGGCCTGGGGGTGACAGGTGAGGCCATCTGTCACCCTAGCAGAAGCAGGCCGGGGTGGCGGCGAGCGCGTTGCGAAGCGCGCTCGCTTCCAGGGAGCACAGGGAACATGGGGTTCCCACACGGGGCGGGGGTCGTCTACTCGTCTGTAGATGACCCGAGGTATGTCGGGGCA